TTTACACCTAAAGCCTAAAGGGGTTTAGGGTTTAGGCTAAACCCTAACCCAAAACAAACCCTAAATTCTGGAAGGCGCCTTCACATACGTAGCTTTGCCCACGCGTCTCAGGGCGCAGTAGCGGTCCCACCTTGAGAAGAAGCAGGCTTAGGGCTGAGGATTTGGGGTAACGCTTCTTGACCAGAAGCAAAGCTTTGAAAACACTTGAGTCAACACAACTATTCGGGTTTAGGGTTCAGGGTATTCTCTAGATCAACATCAACGCCCTCCATATGATTGCAAGGATTTTTCGCCAATCATGTTGCTGGATTCCGGACATGTCGCAATGTGCCGCAAAGATCATTCCCGCCTGTCTTCCACATCGCCCGGATTTCGGCAAAGAATGACCTTGGCAACTCATCCAGAAACTATGGACCCCCCCTTCGCAGCTGGAAGGTTTCCAAAATCCGCAAGGGTCCTGTTCATCTCATCGTACTGGGTATACTGTTGACACAAACAATCCGGCTTGACCAAAAGTACTTGAAAAATCCTCAGCCCTAGATCCTAGTACCTCAAGTCCCCCAATCTTTGGAAACTCATCACAGACAAACACAGACACACACACACACACACACAAGCAAGCAAGCCATTGGCGTTCGAGACCAGTTGATCCTGCAGGTTTTGGTCCTGCGCTTCAGGGAACCGGCAGGTTCATGTGCAGCCAGAAGTACTAGCTGACTTTTACCAAAAAAAACTATGTACCAAGACTGAGATGAAGCTATTTGTTGACTGTTTTCTATATAACTACATGTGGACTCTTGCGTGAGGTCGGTGAGATCGCTATCATTGGTCAGTACGTCGGGCTGTAGATAGCTGGAAACAGATAAAAGCTCTAGCCATCCCATTCAGAACCCGACTGGTCAAGACACATGAACTCCCAAGCGCTACACTTTATATGGCTGTGACACTTCTTCTTGAACATGTTATATTTTTGCAAACTACAAAAATCTTTCGCTGAAGCTACACCTTAAACTTAAACCCTAAAGCATGTATCCTAAGCGCTAAGGCAAGCCCAGCTTGCCGAACCTCCATTTCGGCCACAGTGGTGCAGAATCTCTGGAGCCGCGTGCGCCTCCATAGTTGCTCCTGCCACGCAACCCCTGGGATTGAAGGCTTTGGTGTTTGGGGTTTTTGCTTTGGTGTTTTTTTGGGGGGGGACGTTTCTTTCCTTCCTAGGGTTTAGGGTATAGGGTGGTGGCGCTATGCCAGGATCGCTTGCTGAGGGGGGAGGGGGATTCTTGCTGGTGGGAAATATGATAAGTAGTGACACTGGTAAAACACCTCAGTAAAACCCGAAACACTCCACCCAACAACCCAAGCCCTAAACCCAGAGACCTTAACCAGGCATAATCCCCTAGTGGGATGGATGCATCGTGGCTTCGAGCTCCTCGCAGGAGTTCAGCTGCTTCCTGTCATGACACTTGCAATGCACGAAGGCAAACATATCATGTATAGGTATGTGCGTGTGTATACATCTCCAGAGATATATATATCTATACAAAAACTGGTATATACCTGTATAGTTCCCAACACATCTGAAAAACTCAAAATATTCTTTTGGGGCCTCACCACGGAACTGCATCGTGCTGGGTCTGTCTACTTGCATGGCCCATGAGGCTGCAAAGCCAGGCACAGCGACAGTGCGAACAAGAAGCCCCCTGAGCACTCAAGAGATCTGCTGTTTAGGGTTTAGGGTTTAGGGTTTAGGGTTGGGTGCTAAAAATCAGGGAGTTGTTCTTTGTACCCTTAGGGTCTGTACCCTTGGGTTTGGGTCCCTAAACCATGGAATATGGCCCTTAAGAAGGGTGTTTGGGACCCAAGACCCACGGTTACAAACATTAAGGGTACAAACTTACAGTCTTGGAAGAAAGGCTTTGGACCTCCAGCCGAGAATGCGCTAACTGAGATGATTCCTTCACTGGGCCCATCTAAGGCCTAAACCAAAAATCCTCACCCTCAACCCCAAGCCCGTCTAATTGCATCCCAACCCCTTGAGGCCTCTGAAGCCCAAACCCGAAGCGCATCTACATCAAGCACGCCCAGGTCTAACACCCTAAGGATTTAGGGGCTCTATGAACATTCAACTCTTATGTCTTCATGAGGAGTATAGAGGAATTATGGTCCATAATGATGCATAGTAACTACGGATTATTCCCAGAAATATCCCAGCCAACAATCAGGCCGGCACAGCTTGGCAATCGGCGCGAGCAGTGCTTGCTGGGGCTTCGTTTGGAAGGGGACTCTGGGTCCACGCTCCTGGGAAAAACAAAGGCATGAGACCCCCTCTGATACGCCTACTACGGATTAATGGACAAGAAAATGGAATGGGGTTATATAGGGATTGCATAGTGCTGCCAACGCAAGCTGTTAGTACAACGAAAACAGCGGCGACGACCGCGATGACAACAACAGTTACCATCAGCATTTGCAGGGGTTACTTTATGTGAGCCCTGCAAACTTACCACTGCGCTAACAAGTAGCATTTTCAGTTACAGCCGTAACTAGTGGCATGCTCATTTCTTTTCAAAACGCAACCCGTTGTCGTAGTTCTTGTAATGCTGATGCTGATGGCCTTTGGAGGTGCACAAGGGATATGGAGTTGGAAATAAAAACCCTCAATCCAAAGCCCCAAACCCCTAAACCCTCGTCCCAAACCCACATTCCTTCATGGCGATGTTCTTGTCTTTGAGCAGTGCCTGACACACCGTCGCTTGTTTAATGCGGGCTTGTGGGTGCTGAGGGTTTGGAGTGTAGAGTCCAGAGCTTAAGGTTTAGCGAAGATGATGGCAACTAAACTTACTGGTGATTGGTAGGGAACAAGGCTGTATAATCCCTATATATTATGTTGCCTTATTCCCTGTTAACCCCAGTAAGTAAGGTCCCCAAAAAACGCAAACCACAAGTCCTGTTCCGCTGTTTTGGGGGGCAAGAGATGAAGCAGCAATTTCACGTGCCTGGCTTAAGCAAAATCCTGTTATTATCCAAAGCTATCCCAAAGTTATCCCGAGATGATCCCCTGCAATCCTTGATGAGATACACTATCCTCCTTATGTAATACCCCTAGCGCTAAACCCTAAACAACACTATTGGCATATTCCCTTTGGGGTGCCAAGAAGAGGCTGGCCTGCAATCGCTCCCTCTGGCTCTGGAGAATTATCTTCTGCATGTGCGCGAAGTTGAGCTTTCCGCCATTGCTGAGGCAGAGGCTTTGGGGTTTAGGGCTTAGGGTTTGGGGTTTAGGGATTTTGGTTTAAGCTTTAGGGTTTAGGGTGTTTTGGGGCCCACTTAGACGCAAGACGCAAAGAATCACTTTGATTGTCTCACAGGTGTGCATCCCCTTTGGATCTCCCATGTGAGTCCGTGCCATTTCTCAGTTCCACTAAGGTTGTTTTTGGCGCCTCTTTTCCGTCCATAACAAGGGTCTAGGGTTTACGGCTTTGTCCCAACCAGGATGCTCTTCAGTATCAAGACAACCGACAGCAACGTGGCTAACGCGCATTTCAAGAAACGAGCACCTTGGGGAGAGACCACTAACAAGGTAACCCCTAATTCATAAACCTCCAGAAAGATCGGAGAGTCAAGAAGAGTTAGGAACCAAACTACAAATCGGCACTACTGGGATTATTGTCTGGCTTATAGAGGTTATATATGTAAGGACAGGGCACACGGCCCTGCCTAAGGCAGCAAAATGAGCGCTGAGACATGCGGTGATGTAGATCTAAAAACCTGCCTTGAACAGGGTTTAGAGTTTAGGGTTTAGGGTTGATGGAGGAAAGCCTGCACCGCGGATCCCTAAAGTACAGGGCATGTGCTATAAAAGGTGGTGCAAGATCTCTTTCCTCAAGCCTATGAAATTTTCTTATAAACCGCTACAGAAACGCAGTGTCCATTTCATTTTCCATTTTCTGTTTCATCGGATTCTCATAGTTGTGGTCATAGATCTCCTATATCTCCCAATACAGCCTATATGACCCCTTTAAAGGAACCCTACATAGCAATGTATAAGCTGTAGTCTAAACTCCTAGTATCCCCCTTAGTAACCCCTATAGTAGTCCCCTACATAATGCCGTATATAATCCCCTTTATGGAGCTTAGATTATGGCTCATATCAAAGCCCTACTGGGCCTCCCCATCTCGCTGAAGCATGGCTTTAGAAGCTGTTTCACCTCCGGGTGCTAGCAAGGCGAGCCCTAAGAATGGCTTAGAGATTAGGGTTTAGGGTTTAGGATTTAGGATGTAGGGTGTGGGCTTAGGATTTAAGGTTTGGATTTAGGGCTTAGGATTTGGGGTTTACAGTTCAGGGCTTAGGGCTTGGGGTTTACGGCTTAGGGCTTAGCATTTAGGATGGAGGTTCTGAGAATAGGGGGCCCCTTAGGGGACCCTAGGAGTGTCTACAGGGAGTATACGAGAAGATTGTAGGCATGCTTTTGTTGAAGGATTCTCTCGGGGTTGTTCTGAGGAACTCCCATGTGAGGACTGGCATTGCTGATCATACTGGTGGCACCCATGTGAGGACTGGCATTGCTGATCATACTGGTGGCACCTAAGCTGCCATTTCTATTCCTTCTGCTTCTGCCTGATGTACTACTGTTAGAATCACCACGGGGTACAACAACATGAGGAAGTCCTAGTGTTAGGGTATATTGTGGTATATCATAGACCCCTGATTAATATATTATAAATCCCTATTAATGGGCCGCGGACCTCGCTCCATGTGTAGTTGTAGGCCATGGCAGCCGGCATCAGGCTGTCGACAATGACCTTTCGCAGCACGAGGTCTGTAGTGGTTGGTGCAGCCCGGCGAGACTTTCATTAAATTATGCATGAGGGCATCTGTCAACAGTTCCTAAAAGATCATGCTCAGTGAGCCTACGTGAAAGGATCCTACTATTTCATGTGCTACATAGTGGAGCTCGGTTTCGGGAGACAGCCAGAATTTCAGCTGCATGCTAAAGCTGCACGCTCCGCTCCTTTTTGTCACGAGGGCTGCTGCTGCCGGAGCTCCTGCTTCCATAGTCATTCTGGAAGCTATCGCTGTATGCTGCGTCAGACTGATCTTCGTCGAAGTCCTGTCTTGAAACCACAGGAAATCGAGGTGGTCCCAAATGTCCCATTCCTACATTCCCCCAGACACACCACAGTTATCATCACAAGCACCTGAATTACAAAAAAACTTTGCAAGAACCCCCTACATGGGTAGCATGTATGAGCATGAAAATAGGTATCCCAAAAATTGGGATCCCCGCGTATGCCCGCACGGACCGAAACGAACCTAATTCTGAAAGTTCTAAACCCTAATCATCCGTATATACTCTCATATAATATACTTTGGTTTACCCTATGTGCCACTCATAACTCTCAATGCACCTACATATCCCGTGTACCCATATGCATATAGATATATCTACCTCTCCCTATAAACCCCCATAGAACACCCTAAGCCCTACACCCCAAACCCTAAATCCTAAACCCTAAATCCTAAACAACCCTAAACCCTAAACCCTACACCCTAAACCTAACAAAGCCCCCCAACCTCGCTGCTGTAGCTGCGGGTCGTCGCAGCTGGTTTGGGCACTTCCGGCGAACCTCACTCATAAGGAGGCAAGTTGTATTGGGTTTAGGGTTTAGAGCTTAGGGTTTAGGGTTTAGGGGGTTATGTACGGGTATATCAAGCTATATGGAGATGTATCAGGATATATAAGGATAGACATCTGTACATATATGGATGTACGGGGCTTGAAGGAAGGGAAAAGACATTGGGACAACTGGGTCAGGGGTTCAGGACTTCTGCAATGGCTTAGAAAGTGCACACTTATACCAAATGAATGACAAGCCGACTGAATCGCGCATGGCAAGAAATGTGACTCTCTACACCCCACTAAGCCCCTTCCATCAGCCTTTATCCATGAAAAATGCAGCACAAATCTGAGTTCAAGCTTGAAGCCCTGAACGGCTGTGTCCTACACTCTCCACACCAAAAAAACTAGGATAAATTTAGGGGCCCTATGAACATTCGATTCTTGTGGCTTTTCAGGGAATATATCAGGGATATGGTCCGCAATTAATAGCTAAAGACTACTCCCAGGAGTATCCCAGAAAAGCCTTAATCCCGAACCCATACACCAAACCTCGGAATCTTGACCTCAAACCCTCCACACACAAACTCCCAAGCCGAAAGACTTTCAACTGGTCCGTTTTTCTATTCCTCATTAGGTGCCAAAATATGAACGATGGCTTAATATAACAAAGCCAAAAATTATGCTGGGGCTGTCTTTTGGGCTCCCAATATGGTACACTCCTTACTATGCAGGATACACAAATGGGACCAAAATAATAATGATTCTGACAACCTCGCACATTCAACAATGAGTCCTACACCCTAAATGCTAAACCTTACCTTTCTCCTAAACCTCCTAAATTCCTAAACCCTAAATCCCAAATCACATACCGTAAACCCTAAATCCCAGATCCCAAACCCTATATCCCATACCCTAAATCCCTAACTCCCCTCATCCCCAATCCCTAAATCCCTAAACCCTATGTCAGGAGGAGGTGCTGCGCGCCGCAGTGGCTCGAAGCGATTCCGCGGGGCCCGACTTGTCAGGACGCCCTGAGCTGCTACATGGTTTAGGGTTTAGGATCTAGGGAATTTCTCAAAACGGGGAGGGCTCTAGGAAAGCTAGGGACTTAGCCCCCCTTAAGTAGATAGAAATGGCTTTGGGTATGTTGTAGTAAGATCCCCATATACGCCATATTCTATCTACTTGAGGGGGACTATACATGAGCGACTACTGCTATTTATTGTCTGGCAGAATGACTGTGTTTTGAATCCCTGGTCCGCCATCTCATTCCCCTTAGAGCGGACCTGATTTTCTTACGGGCTGAGAATGTTATGATCTCGTTCGCACTGTTCCAACATGAACATAACTCTCAGTTACATAAGAAACTCGATCTGTCTCGTTCAACACGTGGTCGTCCCTATCCAGTTTCCCGATGAAAGCTGGCTTTAGGAGAAAAAAGTCGAGGATGCTAGTCTTCTGTCGTCCTACGTAAGTAGATGCAGCTGCTCCTATAAGGCTTATACAGGGATCAGGGGGTCCTCATTTGGGGTTATGCGATGACTTTATGAGAAAGTCCCGCATGGGACGCGAAGGGGGCTGCTGCAAGAAGCTACATGTACTTACCTAGAATAATATTAAGATGGGGGATTGGGGGTTTTTCTTGCTACGCAAGGATTATAAGGGTGTTCAGGAACCAGGGTTCAGTGTTTGGGATTTGCGACTTGGAGGATCCAAACGTGTCCATCGATTGCAATTTTGAGCTCCCTACAGAAAAACGTAGGGATAACCCCTTTAACGGAAATGTTGTACTCATAGGGTAAGGGATTGGTACTATTGGTGTCGGTGAGCTCTCCACCCACCTAGTTCCTGGCACAGGGATCTTGAGTGAACCCTCAAACCCCTAAACCTCTCAAGCCCGAAACCCCTTCACTTACTGGGGTCAAAAGGGAATACTGAGGGCATATAATTCCAATCCCTATATAAGATATTCCCTTTCTCTACTAACCCCAGTAAGTTGACTGAAGGCCGCCAAGCAGCCTCCAGAGCTGCTAAGCTGCTGTTGCTTGCCAGATGTCTGCTGAACTTTATGTCTTCGCACGAAGTCCTTGAGACGGTATCGGGGTTTCCCAAAATTAGGGATACCATTTTGGGGGTCCCCATAATAAGGATTATGATGTTTTGGGGTCTACATTGGGATACTTATGGAAACTACGGTATGCGGTTTATGGGAAGCATATGCGCGGCTACTCAAGCTTTACCTTCGAAATTTGAGGAGATCATGATGGGTCCTCTACACATACAATCCCTAAGGCCTAAATCTTGGGATTTAGGGATTAAGGTTTCCCACAAACCCTGAACCCTGAGCCCTAGACCCCAAGCCCCATAGGGTTCAGCTCCTGCAGAGCTGCTGCTGCATCTTCATCAAGTGCACGACTACCTGAATCGTCTGGGTGCAAGTCAACAATTAGGGATAGGGCCTAAGCTGTAAGATGTTGGGGGTCTAGGCTTGGGGCTTCGTGTACTGTTTTGAAAAGAGAGTTTGGGGTTTCGGGCTTAGAGTATAGCATTGAGGTGTACAGAATCCGGGGTCAACAGCTGAAACGATGATTGCTCCAACAACCCTAGATAAGTCAAACCCCGAACAACACAATAAGCCCCATCATGCGCGTTGTCAGAATGCTAGGTTCAGAATCATTCGGGGCCCTTCGGCCTGCTAGGGTAACATCCCAGCGAGAGGCGCAACCAACCGTGACCCACGTAGAAGTTACAGTTTAGGGTTCAGGGCCAGGGGGGTTGTAGCGTTTGAATGGGGATATGCTGCTTGCAAAGTCCTGGTGCTGTAGCCCCGACTATCGAAAGGAATCACATGCGGTTGATACTAAAAAGCCTGCACAACCCTAAGTAGCTTATACCTTGGGAATATGGTGTCAGAGTATTCTACGGTCATGCTGGACTTTTAATTTCAACCGTATGGCCTATGGATCTCTGTAGCAGCCCCTCTATCATCCGTAAGAAGATCGTAATTTCTATTTCATGTTCCATCTTCTTCCCACTTGATCCTACCTTATTGGGGCAAAACATTATAGGCAGGCAACATTTTGACATCACCTCATGGGCGCCACGTTGAACTCTTGCAGGGCACCTGCTACTCCATGCAGATCTGCAGCTGTGAATCGACTTGGGTTCCGAGGGGCCGGATGCCTTAAAACCTAACCTGGAAACCTCAATCCAAAATCTAAAACTTTTAACCCTGAGCCCTAGACCCTAAGCCCTGAGGCCTAAACGGCTAAGAGTCAGAAAGAGGTTCCAATTGCAGCCTCGCAGCGAAACTCTCGCTCCCGAAGCTGCTTCATCCTATTTAGGGTTCAGTGTTTAAGGATAAGGGATTAGGGTTTAGGGATTAGGGTTTAGGGTCTAGGGGAATAGGGGTTTAGGGTGTAGGGTTTAGGGGAATGAAAAGAAAATTGAAGCTACTAAATTGTTGTTTGAGGTTGAGGCTTTAGGGCTTAAGATAGGGGATTCTCCGACTACCCCCACAACGGAGAATCAAAAATGGATGCATGGAAAGATGATAGGTTATAAAAAGTGGGTTTGAGTTTGGGGTCCCAAGCTTAATACAGCCCACGACTTTTTGGCAATTTTGCCTCTCAATTTTGACAGTCCCCCCCCATGTCAACATAATATGGAATCCCTGCTTATAACTTCAGATGATCCGTGCATGTGCGGCTCATGAAGCTTCCTTCCCTGCCTTTGTTTGGCATCTTGCCCGTGCTTTCGGACATTGAACAAAGGCCGATGTCCACATCGGGTGTGAAAGCGCTCGTCCTGGCGATGTAGAGGCATTTTAACATTGGGGTAACTCTCAGCCATGCACATGTCCGCCAAGGACCTTATGGTTTACGAGGGACAAAACATTGGAGCTGTCTGACCGGTCTTTGATCAGTTGTAGCACGCCTCCTTCTGCGGCGCGAGGCATGAGATAGAGTCGCCTTGCCTCACTCATCAATAAGTTGAAAGTCGTGCGATCCATGAACTCAAAAAAACAAGTTCTCATTGCGGCAGCAAAGCCAAAGAAGTGGTACAAAGAAGTGGTAGCAGAAGTGGTAGCAGAAGCAGCAGGAAGAGGAGGAGGAGGACGAGTAGGAGCAGGAGGAGGAGGAGTACGTCACCGCTCCAAAAGTTTCGACTTACTGGGCCATTCTTCAGTTCCAGACCTCCGAATTTTCTTGCGTTGTCGCGGAGGCCCATGATGTCTCTTGTTCCTTGGGCCTGCTAGCAAAGGCACCCCTACCCCGCTTTAAATCTATAATACGTTAACGCTCCGAAGGAGGCCCTGGGACGCCAGTGTAGGAGTCTGGGGGGTCGGAGTTGCTAGTTTAGAGTAATTACATAGAAGGGTCTTCTTGCAAGTACTTCCGTGAGTCGAACTTTTGTAGCACCGCAGTAGTCGTCATCGCAGAAACAATAGTAGTAGCAGCAAAGAAGTAGTAGCAGTGGTAGTAACAATGATAGTAATGATATCAGTAGTGGTGGTTTTGGTTTTTAACAATACACGTCAAACTAATGCTATCAGTATTGCTAGTCGTCGTCGCCGCAGCAGCAGTAGCAGTATTATGCGAAACACGTGCATGAATGAACGCCAGCGATGGTCATGACACTGGCTCTGCTCCAACTGCTACCCTAAACCCTACCCTAAACCCTGAACCCCTGGGGTCCAGACCTGCGCGGCGAGAAAGCAACTCGTCCATCAACTCGCTCGCCTGGCTACAGTAGCTATAACCTAATACTCCTTAAAGGGGGTTATGAAGGAGATCATACAGGGGAGAATTATACAGGATATTAAGGGATACTAGAGTTTAGACTATCCTCATGACTGGGGAAAGCAACCGTGGAGTACAAAGCAAAGCCACTTGACATGCAATGCCGATATTCAGAGGCATGCTTGTGCTCAGATTCTCTAACTCCAAGCCCTGACAGCCCCAAATCGGATGGCGCATTGGACTACAAACATGACATACGGTATACAGGCAATTCTTCTGAACATGCACGATACTGCTCCTAAAGCATTGCAGTCCTGCTGCCTTCTCAGATCTGCACCAGCCCCCGAAAAACAGCCGCATCCTAATGATCTTAGACAAAACCAGGGCTTGCTATTCAGGGTTTAGGGGCCAAAGTCGGAACCTTCGTCCCCGAGCCTCCACTCCAAATCCCCCAAAAACCTGGACAAACGGGAATAAGCCCCCAAGATAGGAGCCCTCCGTGGCCCCTGATTCCTAAACGCTAATCAAGGCGCCGTAAACCCTGAACTGCGTACTGGAGGGCCTAAATTTCTACCAAGACCATGTTGAGGTTTATTTGAGGTACCCTTTATCTTGGTGATTCAGTTCTCCATGATTTTTCCACTGAACCCTTATATAAGCCCTAGAACCACTTAAAGGGACCATGGTAATCACATGCCAAGACCATCGTATGGCCGCCTCGTAAGGGCACGCCCATGTCCACAGCCTGAAGAAGGCTTGGGGTTTGGCTTCGGCCATCAGAGTCCACTTTAGCATGTGATTGTTCAAGTTTACTGGTTTAGGGCTATGGATTGGGGATCCGAAAATTTGCAGATTCGGACTTCAGGCTTCGGTGTTCAGCAGCCAAAGATGCATACCTTGAATTCCTTTCCAGGAGGTAGGGCAGAACCCTATGTCTGGATCACTCGTACACTACTAGGGATCTTATCCGGCATCTAGAGAATTCTAAGGTTCAAACCATGGGCCCCTAGTATGGGCCCTTAACTCTGGGATCCTATATACCCTATATGTATTATTTTTTCAGGATCCCTACAACCCTGAATCTACAACCCCTACACCACATTCAAGGCATAACCTCTAACCCCTAAACTCTTCCACCCAACACTCCTGAACGACAATCCCTTCTGAGCCCCCAAAACTCTCCCCTAAACCCTAAACCCGAAACCCTAAACCCTAAACCCCTAAACCCCTGAACCCCTAAACACCTAAACACCTAAACCCCTAAACCCCTGTTTGGGGTTTAGGGCTCAGGGTCGGCAATGTCTCGGCACGGCGTAACCCCTCGCACTCAAGATCCCCAAGTATCCTTCACACATGGTGGACCCAACACAAGAAGCTGGGTGTGTGGGGCTTCCCACCATTAGCGAGTACTTTTGAAGGGGGGTTTTCCAAGGTTATAGGAATATTTATGGTTTAGAGCTTAGGGTTTCCCAAAATTGGGGGTACCATCTTGGGGTCCCAAAACCAAGGAATGTAGCATTTTGGAATCTATGTTGGGTCCCCTTATTTTGGGAACATGTTTAAGAAACATGAGCCCTGTTTTGCCCACATGCTCATGCTCTAGTCAGGGACCCATAGACTTGAGAAAGTATTCTTCGAAGCTTAAACCTTACACCTTAAAAAGTGAACGCGAAACCTCTGCATGCGGCATTCCTGAAGCCTATAATGCTGCAGGTCACAACTTGACAGCCATAGACTATCCCGGGGATATGCCCCCCCCCCACAACAGATGAAGTCCTCTACATACACTTAAATAAGTTAATCAAATTCAAAAACAGTAACAATGTTGTTGCAATTTTCACAATTGAAACAGAGAAATGCGAATAAATGAAAATAGATGCCTGAAAAGCTCTGCAGAAGTCCACGGGACCAACTCGGCCCTGATTGCCGCCCAGACGCCTTCTGGGTTTAGGGTTTAGGGTTTAGGGTTTAGGGGTTGAGGTTTTAGGGGTTTAGGGTTCAGGGTTTAGGGTTTAGGGTCATATCAGAACCCCAGGAAAAGGCGATCCATGCTAGAGCCCATGGGTTTTAACCTTCTGAAAAAAGGGACTTGTATGGACCCCTGGGAATTGCACAAGGGCTTCTGTTCGGGATCGCGCAAAGGTTATTTTGAAAAGCTCCCAATTTAGGATGTTGGGGTTCTGGGGCTGCGTTTTAGAAACCATGCTTGCACCGCCTTAAATTCAGAGTATTCTGAGGGTTGGTGTTCTGTGGGGTTCAGGGCTTGAGTGGCTTTAACTTTACAGCGGGGCTTCTGGGTTAAGGCTTAGGTGTACGGGCTTAAATTTACTTGTAGGGCAGTAGCCAAAACGACCCCCTGAACCAACAAGGACCTAACCCCCAAACCCTCAACCCTAAACCCTAAACCCCAAACCTTAAATCCTCCCCTAAACCCTAAACCCCAAACCTTAAATCCTCCCCTAAACCCTAAACCCCAAACCTTAAATCCTCCCCTCAACCCTAAACCCCAAACCCCCTCAACCGGTCATCTTTTCCAAGGCGCTGGAACAAACCGGCCAGCTCGTGAAAGCCCAGCTGGGGCTCCAACGCCCAGGCCATTCGAGCGACCTAAAGACAAGAAGGGATCTAGGGTTTACGGTTTAGGCTGGCAGGAGAGCGGTTATGTCGGGGTTATATAGGGGTTATATAAGGTTTATGCAGGGATTATATAGGGTTTATGGGGTCTAATAGGGGGACTGGAAAAGTGGAAACTACCCTAAACGTTGTATGGTGGTATATAGGGAGAATGAAAAAGAAAATGGAAGCTACTATTTAGTTTGTAGGGGTAACGGAGAAGAAAATGTAAACTACCCTAAAGGTAATTGTTGTAATATTAGCATATATAGGGATAATGGAAAGAAAAATGGAAACTACTGTTTACGGTTTATGGATTTGGGTTTAAGGTTGACTTCGTGGCACCTAGGAAATGGATGGTGGAAACCAAAATGGAAACTACAATACTATAGGAATTATGTCGAGGTTTGGGTGTAGGGTCTAGGGTCTTGAAGTTTTGGGGTTTTTGGGTCTGGGGTTGTAATTGGGGGGTTCCTGGGTTTGGGGCTTAGGGGCTTCAGCTTGTGATGAAGGCACACAAACCCGACTAATTCGCATACATGCATCTATGTACATACAACAGCATAACATCTCTTCCTGTAAGCAAAACTCAAATCCTAAGCAGAATCTCACTTGGGGGGGCTCGCAGTCATAAAGTCTCCATCATTCACAGCACTAAGGATGGTCTTTGTATGCCTCCAGACTTTCGCCAAGCACTTGTAGTTTCCATTTTCTTTTCCATTATCCCAATATAACCCCAATATACTATAGTAGCTTCCATTTTCTTTTCCATTATCCCCATACTACCCTAAACCCTAAACCCTAAACCCTAAATCCTAAACCCTAAACCACTGGCCTGTCTAGGGCCAAGCCATCCCTGACAGCCCGAGTCCAGGCTTCTGAATACCTGCAGTGGCGTGGCCCCTCGCCGTCTCATGGAGCCACCTCAGTTTGCAAAGAGGGTTTAGGGTTTAGGGTTTAGGGTTTAGGGTTTAGGGTAGTATGGGGATAATGGAAAAGAAAATGGAAGCTACTATAGTATATTGGGGTTATATGGGGATAATGGAAAAGAAAATGGAAGCTACTATAGTATATTCTCTCCGTTACCTTCTGGTGCTGGGGTATGCAAATATGACTTCTTCATGTCAGGGAGCCATTACTCCGGCACATACGCGGAAAAAATGGTCCCATCGCCTACCCACATGCCCATTCTTTGTGAGCCGGGCCACACATGCGCTGCAAGATGCCGTCCACAGTTTCTTTGCAATTCGGCGGCTGCGCCTTTGAGGGGAGACTCACCGTATCCAAGCGAAGAGTTGTCTGCTGCGGCTGGTCAGACGGCGGTGGTGGTGGTGGTGGTGGTTGCGGTGGTGGTGGTCGAGGCGGAGGAGGTGAAGGTCCTGAAGCTGGGCAGGTACAATTACGGACACTACCATGGAGACTAAGAACCCTGAATGGTCCTGAGTACCTTAAACCTTGGGAATCGTGGTACTATAGTATGCTAGGGTCATGCAGGATGGCTTTCATTCTGAGGCGGAGCCGATTACTTAGCTCATAGTCCTCGAGGATGCTGTTACGTGGAACCCCATCCGCAAAACTAAATGTTAGGAATACCTAGTGGGCTTCTATGTCATTTCCCATGATTCCAGGCCCATAAACCCTGCGCATCTTTATGTGCATGCCCGTACATACATACTTTTGCTTCATTTGTGCATCTCAAATTTTAGCCTCTTGCGTACTGTTTTAGCCCCTGGTGTACTTGGTTGACAGCTGCTCGGGCCATATAGAGCCCCTGTAATAACTTAAACCCCCCAACCCCTAAAGCCTAAACCCCAAACCCTGGACCCCAAACCCCTAAACCCTAAACCCTAAACTTTAGACTCTGAACCGTCCTGAAGATGGCGGAGGCAAAGGTGGAGGCCCAACAGGAGGCCGGGGTGGTGGCCCGAGTGCAGCCGACCTTCGGGATTGTCAGTAAAGGGACTGTCTATGGGCAGTTAAGGTTTAGGGTGGGTTCAGGGTTTAGGCTCATGCAACTTATTTACAAGTTATGTGAGGTAAAACAAAGGATGATGGAAGAATGACATGGGCATTTATTTCTCCAGAAATGGGGACCCCTTCTGTCCCAACGTATTTCAGTCTTGAATATGAGAGCAAGGGGCCTCAATTGTTGAGAAACCCTAAACACAAAACCTTTACACCTAAACCCCAAACACTGACTACCATTGATGGACGAAAACCTGCTAAACCTAGGGCCTCAGGAAGTCTGAAAGGTCATGCCCCTAAACTGAAAAACCCCTAAACTCCTAAGCCTCTAAACCCTAGACCCTATTGTCCATCAACCGGTTGAACCCCAGACCCCGGCGGAGGAGGTGGCATCGGAGGGGGTACCACGCATGCCATGGCTGCGCGCGAGGCCAAGCGCGGGATTCAGAGTTTAGGGTTTAGGGGGTTAGGCGTAGGTTGGGGGTGTAGGGTCAACGGTTTGTGGTTTGGGGTTTGGAGCTTCGAGATTGGGGTTTAGGGCGTGGAGCTTCAAGACATGACTGGGATTTAGGGCGTCGTGGGTTCAGGGTCCAGGTTTTAGGGTTCAGGGCTGAGCATAGGAATGCCCCACAATGAGTAACGTCTCAAGCCAGCGGCCTCGGAGCCCGCACGAGCGAAGCACTGCCAGGCGCGCAAGGACGACTCAGAGATTCAAGGCAAAATGTGAGCCTACTTATTCTAGGTTCCCCAGTAACTCATTAATAATAAGGGTACCCTTTTTCCTACTACTCAGCTTTAATGTGGACAACCCAAAATTAAAAAGGGCAAAAGGGTACCACTGGGGTACCTAGTATTTCTTATGGGGCAGGATATGCATTTCAGGCATAGTCTACAATACCTGCAGGGACAACCGTCAGAAAATGCGTGGCTCATACACTGCATCACATGACAGCATCGCCTCGACAGTCTCCCTCGGCTTCTTGAAGAGCGCGAAGAGCATCTGAGGGGTTCCAAAAATGTGAGCCCTTACCGCCCAATAATGGAGATTCAAATGGAAAAAATGGATAATGAAATGGGAAACTATGGAAACTGGGATTATATAGCGGTTCATAGGGGTTATATTCTAAACTCCGAGTATCCCCCTTAATAACCCCTATAGTAGCCCCCTATATAATCCCCTATTCAATCCCCATTTAAGGAATTGAGACTATGGCACATATGGGGTCGCATTGTGGGAATCCCTGTAGTCAGCCCAAAATTGCTTTGGGTATACAAGGGTGGCCCCAGTTTTTTGCAATACCAGTCTGAGGGTTTAGGGTCAATGCACTGCCTTCGCCATGGGAGACCAGGACCTTCGCAGAAACCCTAAACCCTGGGCTTGTTGTCAGCTCCAGCTGAGGACCAGCTAGCTTCGAGTTGACTGCCTTTATTGGAATGTGCCAAAGTGCGCTTCCTGCTCTGCGGCTTACCATTGAGATCCGAATCCCAACATGTTGAGACCTGGATTGCTGCAAGCACCTTTGTATTTCAGCTTACTGCCGGCTAGTAAGGCAAAATAATGCCCCATGACCCTGTATAATATATTCCCTCATTCCCTACTAACACCCAGTAAGTCAAACCAGCAAACGCGCCTCGCGTGTTTCATGATGGATCATTTGCCGAATCTCGAGGTCCTTGGCATCAAAGCATGCAAGCCTGTGGCCAAATGTGCATGCCCTAAACCCTATAAACCCCTACAAGCCTAAATGCTAGGCCTTAAAACCCTCAGCCATGAGCCCGAACCCCTAAACGCCAATACCCAACACCCAGAAATTTAGGTTTGGGGTGTTTGCAAAAAGGAGGTCTGCTTTTGGTGGTTCAAGATATTGAGGCCTATTTTGGTGCACCCCACTTACGGAAGCCCCCATGCGACGGCTTCGTAAAATAATGTACATCTAGGGAAAGCAGGGATGAGAGTCTAAGCGGAAGGCGGTCCCTATTGCCCCCTATCCCTGCTTGATGGAAGAAAACCACACCTGAAGTGCCCTCAATCCTGACATGCTTCCTAAGGCCCCAACCCCTAAACTCCAAACCCTAAACCCTCATGAACAGTCTCAACACACTCAGGCGCCGGCCGTGTGGACATGCGAACCTCCAATTCCACCCCGCAGCTTGCCAGCCTCCAAAGATTCGCCATTGAGGAAACCCTGAACCCTCAAGGGTTTATGGTTTAAGCACAAGCCCTAGACCCACAAACCCTAAGTTCTAAACCCTAAATTCCTTGCTCCTGAACTCCCAAGCCCCAAAATGCAAAATTCCAAAGAAACGAGGTCCCGCGACTCTCAAAAGCGCCTCATCTACCGGGCCATAGTACGCGAAGAGTTCCAGGCGACCGGTGGACTCAGGGAATCGAGGGTTTGGGGGTTGAGGCTTTAGGTTTTCAGGACTAAGGATCAGGTGTAAGGTTTCGTGTTCAGGGCTTAGAGTTCAGGGCTTAGAGGCTGAGCGCATCTAAAAGATCATGACGGTCGATGCAGGGGTCGAATGTAGATAATGTGGTCGAGGTTCTACTCCTTCCACAACAGCATGACTAGAATCATCACATTATGAGTACTATGGATTGCATCCTACACACTTCAGATTCAGCTTGAGATGCTGGCTTCTTGAAATCATTTACACATCGACAGGTCAAAACCCCTACTCGACAACTCGTCGCTTGCAAATATGCACTCCACACAGTACTCCCTGTGACTCAGTCCCCTTTCCCAAATAAAACCTAACCGCCTAATCCCCAAATAATCTAGCAGCCTCTGTAATCTAGCAGCCTTTGCATACCCTAAACCCTAAACCCATTCCCAGCGAAGCATGTACAAGAAGATTGTCCTCCGGATGCTCGAGGCTGGAAGGAAACACGAAGAGGTGCAACTGCTCCCTCGGTTGTGCACTGTGGAATTCTCAGCTTCGCGGGTGAGACGCAAATTTGGGCTTAGGGCTTCAGGGTTTTCATTAGTCTCAGAGGGGCCTAGAATGATAATTGGTTTTCGGTGGTAGGGGCTTGGGGTTTTCAGGTCTAGGACTTCACTCAAGGCTCCAGGCTTTATTTGGGTTGAGGTCAAAGGTCTAGGAGCACACCAACTGTTAGGTTCTTTGAAGGGACGAAGGGACTCCAAGTAGTCATCCCTAATCCCAGTTTACATGTAGGAACCCTACTTGGAGGCCCATGGGACTTAGTAACTAATTGTAACTGGGATTATAGCCCTACTTATAATTGAACCCCTAGAAGTCCATTTAGGGGGATTATATGTAGGGTTATAAGCCAAGTTGCAAGTAGTTACTAAATCCCATGGGCCTCCAATGAATCAGCACATGCCTGAGTAGTCCTATGACCCCATAAACTACAACACTCAGCCCAGGACGGGAGACGTATTAGGGTAGATTCCTTGGGACGCCAGATAGGACAGACCCCATAAAAAGGAATACAACGGAACCTAGAGCCCCAGAGCTTACTTCAAGGGTCTGCCCTACCTGAGCCATTATCCAAAACCCCTAGTATCCCCTTTAATAAACTCATAATACTCTCCTATATAATCCCCTATACAACCCCTTCAAGGAGTTTAGACTATACCTCACCTGGGGCCGTCTGGGGATCTACCTGATGTAAGTGCCGCACGGCGAAACATCCTTCGATGGGATGATGGGAGTTTGCTTTGATGCCCGGCCTCCTGAGAACAAGGAGCGTTTAGCGTTTGTATGGCTTAGTGTTCAAGATTTGTGGTCTCGGACTTGGAGTTTGGGGCGAGGGCTTTAGGTCCTAGCAGCTAGCACCTGCAGTCAGCAGAGCATCTACGACAAAAGGTTCCAACACAACCCACGAAAATGCAGTCCATAAAAAGAAGAAGCCTAAACTATTGACCATGCAGGGCCGCAACCGTTCATGTACCCCTCCTCCTTTAATCATCATTCCACCAATACGCAATGGTATCATACGAGACTCACCATTCTGAGGAGTGGCCATAATCATCCCCAGTTTCCGTCTCATTTTCCATTTTCTTGTCCGTTTGATTCTCCACTATACCCTATACAACACCCCATGTGCTTCTATACTATCAGTACTTACAAGGAACGTACGACCATACTATTGGCAATCGGTTACATTAGGCCCGAAACCCTAAACCCTAAATCCTAAATCCGAAACCCTAAACCCTAAATCTAAATCCAGGGGGTTCACTCATAAAGGCAGGAACTGGCTTTGAGCCTTGCCTGGCGTCTTCGGCGCAGCGCTCATCATGAGGGGTGCCTCATGGACTTGGAGGGTTTAGGGTTTAGGTTTTAGGGCTTAGGCTTCGTGAGTAGGTCAATAATGGAAAAGACCATGGAAGCTGCTACATACCATGGAAGCTGCTACATAATGTTGGGTTTAGAGTTCAGAGTCAAATAAGTCACAAGTATGCTTATTATGTCCCCCTGACCCCCCAAGTACTGTTCCCAGGTGTGGGACTTTGGGTTCAGGATTTAACGCTTCGAGGTAGCTACTAGCTGTCTGCCCTTGCATAGAAGGCGTCAAAAAGGCGTATTTCGGAAACTAGGTTCCCCAGTAACCCATTAATAATAGAAGGGTACCCTTTTTCCTACTATTCAGCCTTAATAAGGAGACCCCAAAATGAAAAGGGCAAAAGGGTACCACTGGGGTACCTAGGAGAATAAACAAGCAGATGAGGCATCTGTAAGGCTTGCACTCGGAAAACTGCCCACCTGAAAAATTCCTCAGTACTGTGCAGGCGGAAGCTGCTGCTGAGAGCCTGGAACTTAAATCATCTAAGGGCCTGCTTCATTAGGACAATGTTTAGGGGTACTTTCTACCACAGTTGTGTGAGGACTCTGAAGGAATAACGGTGGCACTTATTCAGTCTTCTACAGTATGTCACAACTTTAGGGTCCCGTACCCTGAAACCCTCGCAGAGTCTCTCATATTATTCGAAAACACCTGTCCCCAAATGTCCATGGGGCGACTCCCCTTTTCGGGTAGTATCCCCCTTTCAGTATTTACAGTCGTCCCTCCTTTAACCGGACCTTTAAAACCCCTGTATGGAACTCAAGATCGAACTTCAAGCTCAACACATATCCACTTCACAGCCAGCACACAGAACTCTAAACCCCAAACCCTATCCAAGAAGCTACCTTGGATCAGATGAGGAACCTGCCCCCGAAGCCTCTTACCTGATGCCCTCCCACTTTCTTATTACCACCCCACCCCCTAATAAGTAATATGAATACCCATCATCTACTACCATCACATATTCGCATAATACTATTAGCAGGCGGGGGGGAGCTGTTAGAGGGAGGCGGTCACACCCTAAGTCCCGAACGCTAAATCCTAAACCCTCAACCTTCTACCTTACACCCTACACCCCTAAACCCTATATGCTGCTTAAAGTTCGCGAGCAGGAAGTTCTGGATGTAGTAATTTCCTTTTTATTTCCATTATCCCTACATTACCCCTGAGCCTAAACTCTAAACCCTACTGAGACTCCGACACCTCTGGAACCATCGAGGCTTACACTCTTGCCTTTGCCAGTGGCCTTGGCAACGCCAGGGCTTCCATAGGATAATAGCATGTACATATCGCCGGGTTTTAGAAGGATATCTAGGGGTTATCTCAGGATATACGGATACATATGCGTTATACACGGACATAAGGATCTACAAGGTTTAGGGTTTGGGGCTCAGGGTTTGCCAGCGGCTTTGGCAGCCTGAATTTGACGCAGCCCCCAGCCGCAAACTATGCTTCCCTTTTGTCCATTTGGGGTCCCTTAAGGCTGAGGTCAAGGGTACATCCTGAATGACTTGAACATACTATACCCTGAACCCTGTACTACACAAATTCCTGGAGATCCTACAGGCGTTTACGGCATCCACAGTACTAAGACACCCCTTTGCAGAGTGGCCTTCAAGCTTCCTGCGCTGCCAGCCCGTGCACTCTCCATTGCTGTGCCTTAGCCCCAGGATGAGTTCATCTTGGGATTTCTCCGACCCTGTAGCAGGATTTGGTAGGACTCTTGTATGCAAGTAGCACAAGTATTGTTAGGGGAGTATCAAAAGGGTGGGGCAATATCGAAAGTCGACTGTTTCGCCATTAGCCTCCTGCTGCTTCTTCTTGCTGACTTGCTACCACGACAGTATCACCATGGTTTTGCTTTGCAAAGGTCATCATCAGTCTTGCACAACTTTACTTATCTATTCTATACCCCAGCTATGGTATTTTGAGTTTCCTCAGTGGTGCAAGATTTCCTCCATCCACCGTATGAAGGCTCCCAGAAGACCATTCCAACTGTGGGGCTTTTGCAACACTCTGGTGCGCTTCCCAGAATTCTCATAATAGGGATTAGTTTTAACAACTGCCGGTTCTGACACTAGCTGTTACGGGGCCTCATCATTGAGCTCCCCGAGTCCTAAGTCCCTTGTTGGGAGTCAAGGGCCTCTTCAAGTGTACTTATAACCCCATAGGGCATCTAACAACCACCTAGTTACTCAGTCAAGTGTACTTATAACCCCATAGGCCATCTAACAACCCCAGTTATCCACATTATAAACCTAGTTTCTCAGTCCCCCTCACCCTGCAAGTGGACCCTCAACCCCGGACCCTAACCCAAAACCTGAGGCAGGCACCCCCTACAAAGCTCGCCACGTCCAAGCCATTTCCGGAGGCTCCAGGTCTGTTTAGGGGGGTCCCCCTAACACCCCTGAAAATACTGGACCTAGGATTGGGGTCCCCCTAGAACCCCTGAGAGTAATTGGTCTAGGAGTGAGGGTGAGGAGTTTAGGTAAACCCTAAACCGTTTCTTCTCCAACTCCCTAAAGGGGCTACAACTTTGAGATGCGGATTCACACAAGCGGTGACGTCTACTTGGCCTTCTTCACGGACGCACGAGCACTTGGGGAATGATCAGGGTGATAGATAACAGTTTCGAAGCCGACATTTATGACGCAGTCATGACAATCAAATCCGTCATCGCCGTCATGAGCAACATCTACAAGAACACAAGCATGGCCACTACCTTAAAGTTGAGCAACCCTTGCAAAGTTGAACAACCCTTTTTTACCTGGGAGCTGACGAGGACAATAAAGCAAAGGCCCTCACACACCACAAAGCTCGCACGATGCATTTCATCTCGCCGCAACATGAAATCCGAAGCACGTCTGGCATGCCAGCTCACCTTTGGTGATTTGGTAGCTTCCAAGAATCTTGGCCCGAAGGTTTACCATAAAGATACTTCAAAAGGAACCAGTGACTTTTTGGAAGCTCCCTGTTGGGATGCCAGCAGAAGGCATGTCTGCCTGTCACACAGACTTGGCCCTGCTCATTATCAAGTGGTAGTTGACCCAAACACCTGCTCACAAGGTGGTCACTACAGAAGCACAACCTTGTGATTAGTCTTAAGAACACAAACACCGTCCACGACAGCCTTTGGAGGTCAACTCCCCAAGGCCCCAAGGCCTACGGTGAGGTGGGGTACGCTGCGCTCACAGATCACCCCTACTCAATCTGCTCCTGCAAGTCCAAGAGGAAGGGGTCGTCTTGGTCCTGGTTGGGCAAGAAAAAACATGCACTCTTGTTGTCATCCGTCATAGCATGGCTGCGCAAAGCAGGTCAGAACTGACTGAAAATTGTTACGTGCTCCTATCCTCAAAAGTGAATCGCAACCCAAGACAGTCCCTTACATGATGACATGAGTGCCCAGTAGGAACCTATGGTTTGACATGTACTTGACAGGTCTTGGGCAGTCAAACCTGGATTTGAAGGTGGCAAAGCTGAAGCCTCCTGTTATGTTCTTGTACTTACCCCACTCCCCCACTCCGATGATTTTTCTGTTGACTTGAAACTTAAACCCTGAGCCTGACACCCCAACCCTGAGACCCTAAACTTCTCAACCCCAACAACCCCAAAACCCCAGACTCTCACAGATCACCTCGTGAACCTCCAAATACTGATTTTTTCTTCTTCTCCACTCCTTCTTCGTGGGACTGGTTCCTCCCTTGCGCCTCTGCCGGATCACCTTTTTCAGAGGCTTGGTGTTTACTTGGGGGATCAAGGGGATTTAGTAAATAGGTTAATAATGGGAAGTGTCTAGGGTGATGACATAGCTTCTAGGGGTTATGAATATACCTACTAAGCCCCCCTGACGCCCCAAGTAGGGGTTTGCCCAGTTCAAGGTTTGGTGTACCGCATCAAAGGTTTGGGTGTAGAGTTTACAACTCGGGGTCCGGGTTCGGGGCTTGGGGTCTGCACGGCAATATGGAAACACTTGAGGTTAAGGGTCTCAGGAATTTCTGAAATCAAGACACCCTTGCTGCAGTCCTTCTCATAGAACTCGCAATTTCTTGACGGTATCGGGCCATCATGTTGGGCAGAAATGGTATTATGTCGCCCGGGATGTGAAGGGTTTCAAGGCCCGGCTGGCATCATACAATGTTTTTGTAAAGCTGGTTATGTACAAGCCCCGGGTTTGTACATAATTGCAATCCCACATCAGGACTCTAGCGTGGCTTGCTTCCGGGTTCTTAGCAGGGAATAGAGGAAGATATTCCCTGTATAATATATTCCAATATTCCCTACTAAGAACCAGCAACTTTCGGGGTTTGGGTTGTGGCTGGGGAATAGCCTGGTTATCTGACCAAGTCAAGATCGATATCAAAATCCTGCATGACCCTATGCACCTTATGCCTTGGGTAGACCCCGCACCCAGTAATAGTCCATAGGAGTAATGGTGATTGTACTAGGGTCCTCTAATTTTCCTACCATGGTTACAACATGGGGGGTCCACCTTATTTTACACCTTGGGAATTATGGCATTCTAGTATAGTAAGGCCAAACAGGATTCCTAAAATCTGCAGTGGAATCCTCATTGTAGGGAGCCCTCAAGGTAGGGGCCTAAACCCAAAAAATCCAAAACTTTTAAACCCCCACAAGCCCCAAGTACTAACCCTCAAAACCAAACCACAGAGACGTGAACCCCAACAGTCCTACAACCCTAAAACTCCTAAGATCCCTAAACCCCCAACACCCTTAGCCCAAAACGCTGAAACCCAAAACTCTTTAAACACCTACACCCCAAAACCGTCAATCCTAAACCCTAAACCTTCAACCCCTAAACCATAAACCCTGAGCCCTAAACCCTAAACCTTACCCTCAAATCAGCCAGGATCGCCCTGTGGTGTGGGAGACGAGCACTTTGGTCTGACCGGGCCAGCTCCATCTCCACAACTCGCTCCTTGAGATATGTAGGGGATACAGGGGTATATGGAGAGAGAGAGAGAGAGAGAGAGAGACAGGTATATATGTATATATACATATATATATGTATAGATATATGTATAACCCCAAGAAGGGGTAGGGTTTATTGTTAACTCTGGTTTGGGGGAGGGGTGCTTTCGCTTTTCAAAAGACTTTCGATTGTGAGGAAGTTGGAGCCCGAAGTGATAATCAGTTTGTTTTGGCTTGAGGGCTTAGGGTCTAGGATGAGGTTTAGGGTTTAGGGTTTAGGGTTTAGGGGCTTAGGTTATGGGCTCGCATGTAGAAGAAATAGTCTCGGGGGACTTCTAGTTTTGGAAGTACCCATCAGGGTCCAGGGTACTGAAGAATGCTAGAGAGGCAGGTCCGCATACTGAGGGTTGGGACTTAGGGGGCATTGCTTTCGAGCTTAGGTTTCTGGGGGTCCTGACAGCTAAGGGCGTTCCCTGCGTCAAAGCTTGCAAAACCTTTGAAACTGCACGAAAATTGCGAATCTTCTGCTTAACTGCTGCAATCCCTCGACGACTTCGGTCATCAATACGCCTCCAAATCCTGAACCCCAAAACCCATAACCCTAAACCTTTCACCCTAAAGCTTAAATCCTAAACCCTGACCGCTAAACCTCAAATCCCAAAACCTAAATCCTAAGCCCCTAGTTCAAACCCCCTCAGGCTCCTTGTAGCGTTCAGGAGTGTCATCCTCGCCCCAGATGCAGAAGACTTCATCGATCTCATCCTCCCCGGAAGAGGTGAGGTTGAGCAGCCTGAGGGGCTTCGCGGTCCCCAGAAAAAAGGGTTTAGGGGTTGAGGGTTACGGTCTAGGGTTTAGGGTTTAGAAAATTGGGGTTTAGGGTTTAGGGTCTATGTTGTGGTCCCCATAATGAGGAACATTGTATACTTGGCTGTGGCTCAGACCACCCAATTTAGGGAAACCGCCACCTCTGAAACTGCACAATGCCCGTCGCAGCAGCTGCAAAGAAGGAAGCTGTCACTCGGCCAGCACTTGTGGGTTCAGCGGTATCAGCTTCAACCACAACGGTCTCGTTGTTCTGCTTCTGTGCCTTCTGTC